TTAATTCAAGAAAGAAAGTCATCAGATGGCTCAGACTTATTCAGATCAATGAAAATAACAGTCTCTGTCCATCTGGTAGATTTGAGGTCATCAGGGTCAGATAAGGGTCAGACCAGGTTCACTACATCTCATAAGGATCAAAATCCTTTTCTATCACACCTGTCATGGTTATCCACTGTGTAGCACTTTATCTGGTTAAAACAGTTGCCAGCTTCAGATATTTTATAGGTAAATATTTGTATTCAAGTGTCATTGAGTTTCACACTATTTTAAGCTCTGGGTTTACACAAAAGTACTGTTATAAGTCAACTTATTCAAATGTGGGCACCTATTTCGTAGGTTTTACCCCAATTCATGAATATTTAAGTAAATGCTTCTCTGCAGTGTTACTTTTAATGTGCTTATTTTTTAACAGATACTAGATTACCAAGCTTCTCAGTGTTTTTTACTCTAAAGCACTGAACTTAATAAACCTACAATTTTTCTAAAAAGTCTCACAGCAACATCAGTTTAAAAACGCTTTTTAAGCCGTTCTATTCCAGAAATTCGCTATTTTAACAGTTACTCATCAACCCAGGTTGGGTGAAAAGAGAAAAGAAAATTGATGATGAGGAATAATCAGTCTCCCCTTCAGGAAAACTGTTATACTCCTCTTCTCCTGCCATTATCTTCTATTTAAAAATTAAATAAGAAGATGCAATTTTTTAGGTGGTAAACATAAATCAGAAAAGTTTCCTTTTTCTGATATTATTACGCTTATTTAGTGATCTAGCAATTAAACGTGTATTATCTTTCCAGCAAATGAGTAAACTTTATCAACTCTGTGAATATCTGTACTGTATCTATTAAAAAGTTTCTAATTTTTCATTCTGCACCTCCATCAGAGGAATTACCAGTGAATAAAAAAAATGTTTTGGTAAATGCCTTTCTCGCATAAATACCTTAATCACTTTTTAAATGCAAGATAACAGTAATAATTCAGCTTGAAGAACGTTTATTAACTCAAAGATGCGTCCTACAGAAATAAGCACGTCTAATTTCACCAAAAATAACCTAAAACGAAGTGAAACTGTGATTTCAAGTTTCTACAGGAGGGGGCAGTGTTAGCTTTCTACCAGCAGGAGCCTATGACAACTTCCTGTGGACATTCTGTTGACATCCTGTCGTTAGCCGCTTAGCTTAAAATTAGCATCGGCTAAACTCGGTTAAATCAACATTTCTGAACGGATTTCAAGCTAAAACGTGGCGTTGTTTCAACAAGCACGACTTCTTTGCATGAAACATGAGTTTTGGGGACATGTGGCAAATTTTATTTAGTGATTTTAAGCACAGAAAAGGCTTCGGTTCAACCGAGCTCATTTCTGGGTCACGTGACTGAATCTACCAATCATAACAGCGCGGGGGTGGGCTTTACATCGCTGACATCAGATTTAGTGACGACAGACACGTCTCTCAGCCAATCAGGGCTTTCCACACGGCCGTTTTCAACCAATCACACATCGTTTTTCCAGCTAGCGTGTACCATTAGCCTGAACAAGTCCGGTCAACTTTTCGTCTTTTAAACTATCAAAATGTACCATTTTCTGTTAAAAATGTAACGAATCAACTGTGAAAGCTTCACGGAGTCGGCGCTCCGGTCTCAAAACGTCTTTCCAACCATTTAAAACAACTCGTTCGAACTTATCAGAACCGAACCGGACCAGAACCGGGTCTGCAGCAGAACCTCCGTCCGGACCACAGTTTAAACAGAATAAAGCGTTTTAACTCAAACCCAGCTTATGTTACACAACAGATGTACAAAGTCAGCTTTCAAAAAGACACATTGACTCAAAATTTCAGCTTTCAAAACACCACTAGCTGCAAGCATTGCTGTATTTTCTCCAAGCATCGCATCTGCAAAAACGCTGCGTTTCACACAGCTACAATCTGCACTTTTTTCATTTCATGCCAACATGTAAAATCAATTGTTACACGAATACAACAGTCCATTTATGAAGCGTACGCGGCCACCAGTGTGTAGATGAACATATGCATGATATATTCATAAATTAAACGGATTCTTTCATTCTTCTGGACTGGATAATATCGTGCATTGAATAGTTAAAAATGTAACATGAGACGTTAATTATCTTTGACCCATCAAAATGAACGTGGTCATTTATTTTCAGAATCAAAATTTAACATCACACATTTACATTAATTTGGCAAAATGATTTCAACAACAACACTTATTTAGCAAGTTTTACAAGGAGGAAACAATACGGCGATTGTTTCCCTTTGCTTCCAGCTTTACAACAGACACTTCTAAAAATATCTGGATTAATTTGCTAGCAGATAGAAGAGTTTAAAGATGGAAAATGAAGTTTAAGTTGAGAGAAAAAGATGGATGAGGGAAATGTGTGTCGGCATCAGAACGGCACTCTCCGGTGAGTTCCCAGCTTCTTCCCCGGTACACTTAGGTGATATAAATCAACTCTTTTACCTGGAGATGTCGTCTCCATTGGTATGGAGTTCCATTTAACGCACCCTTTCAGCGTCTCCGTAGGAACAGCTGTGAATCGTCCGAAGTAGCGACGGTATTCCGTCCGACACAGGTTCACCTCTCGGTGGACTCACAGGAGTGGAGTCCGTCAGAGTTCCACTCAGAGGTGGAAAATGTCATAATCCCCAAGACTCAAAGAGCTCTGGATCATGCTGGACTTCTGTTTTCCCAGCACTAGAGCTGCAACGACTGAAGCCGGAGCCTGAAGCGACTCTTTTGAACTAGGAAGTACCGACATTTAAAGGGCTCTATTTCCGGTTCATTTGGGAGTTTCCTGATTGGTCGTTTCGACCAGACAGGGGTGTGTTTTTGTGACGTAAGAGGTCACTAGGAGTCAGAAAAACAGCAAGAATGTTATGGAACAGATTGAAAATGTTTTTCAGACAGACGAGAGGAATATTTAGACGAGTTGGGGGAAAACAGGTGCCAGCCTCTATATTTACGTCTGAGAGGATTCTAAAAACATGACATTCGTTCCAACAACTTGTTTTGCGTTTGACTCCAACCTTGGACCAACTTACACTTGCTCATTCAAAGACAGAAAATCAGAAAATGCATAATTACTCTGTAACAGACCTTAACATGATTTATACTTTGCATGAGGATTAAAATCATTATTACTGTTTCACAGTTAATTAAAAATGATTAGTTCACTGCAACATCTAAAAATGGTTTGAACTAAAAACACTTAGATTATCAAACATTTGTAAAATAGTAATGATAATAGAAAAGAGAGTGTTCTTTCACTTGATCAATTCAAGAAAGAACGTCTCAGGATGGGTCAACCTGTATTTCTGGATTCAAATCAATGAAATGACAGTTTCTGTCCCATAAGGTCCTTAAGGTCAAGATTTGACCTCAGGCTTAGTTCACTACAAAATTCACTTATGAAGTGGGTAAAAGATAATGGATGGATGGATGAGGGCTAACATGACCAGTATAGACACCTGTCCATTGTCAGATTCCATGAGAATATCATTAGTAATTTTCACCAGTGCAGATTCGTTGCTGTGGTGGGCTTTAAACCCTGACTGAAACTCTTCAAACAGATTATTTCTTTGCAGATGATCACACAACTGACCAGCAACTATTTTCTCTAGAATTTTTGAGATGAAAGTTAGATTAGATATAGGTCTATAGTTGGCTAGGATTCCTGAGTCAAGGTTATGTTTCTTAAGTAAAGGTTTAATTACAGCAATCTTAAAGCTCTGTGGTACGTAACCATTTATTAGAGACAAATTAAGCAGATCCAAGACATTGTTATTAAACTAGCCTGACTGCGATGGGATCTAGCAGATGTCTGGATGGTTTGGATGAAGTTATTATTTTTGACAATTCAGAGAGCTCAACAGGACAAAAACAGTCCAAACATAGATCGGGTTCTAGTGACATTTTTAAAGTTTTCTCATCTGACACAGAACAAGAGGCATGGAATGCCTCTTGTTCTGTGGAACCAACTAGGAATGTTGGTTTGATATTTTTTCCCTAATTGAAACAATTTTATTTATAAAGAATCTCCCTCCTGGGGTTTCTGCATTGTGGTGGCTGGGGATCGCCCGGGGCTTCCCTTTGCTTCTCTCTCTGGGGGGTGCAGGTGTCCCTGTTGGGGGACTCCCAGAGTTCCAGGCTTGGGGGCCTCTGTGTGTCTGTGGTTCCGGTCTTCCCTGTGTTACCATCATGTCCTGTGGGGATGGGTCACTATTGAACATTTTTTTGGAGAAACCTTATAGTGACAAGCATGCTCACACAGGTGTTTAGATTCATGTGTTTATCAGATACACACTCAGTTGGGTTGTGGTGGCCACTAAATATATCTTGTATTACCATGTACTGTATAAAATACTTTCTAATGATGTTACAAGTATCATTATATATGTTGTTTGTTGTTGTGGTTTCTCGGTTTTGTCTTGTCTTTTTCTTTCCGCAGGTCTAGAGGCAGACTTCAATAATGTTGATTTGTGTTCTCTTCATACTTCTCTCTCTCCTCTATTCCTATCTCCTTCTTTACCTTTTAACCCTTCTCTCACTTTTCTGCTTTGTTATCTTCTTTGTTTTTCATCCCCATGTCCATTACATCTGAAACAGCCCATAGCAAATTCTAATAAAATTTAATTTTTATATCAAGTGGAGCATTAAGGCCAGCCATAATGCTCTGCTTGTGAAAGTAAATCTGTTGGGCATCACTTTGACACTCAAGAGGAAAAAAAAAGATGAATAATATAAAGTTCTCGCTTTGCAGAGCACTTTTTTTCTACATTAACAGGTTATCTCTCCAGGATAAGTAAAATTCCTCAATGTTAGTTAATGTTTCACACGTTATTTTACTAACAGACATACTCATGAGTTCTCACCTTCTTCCATGCTGCGATCTTGAGCTTGTCTTGCTGAAGAGTTGTGATAAGAGTGAGTAGGTTTTCTAGATTTTTTTATTATTATTGTCATGTTCTTTGTGTTGCAGCAAATTTCTGAACATCAGAGGGTGGATCCTCTGGGATCATGGATGGATTTTGTCAAAAGGCCCGTTGGAAACTTTCCCGCAAAGTGTCGCAAACGCAAGCGGCCCCTGGTAAACCCAGCTGATTGTTCTGTGTGTTGCACGTTGTTTTCTAACATGAAATTATTTTCATATGAAGTTGGAACCATTAGTGTGTTTTGTATGCTCTCTCTTCTTTAGCCAGGCCCATCTGGTCCCCCCGGTCCCCCAGGCCCACAAGGACCTCCTGGTTCTCCTGGAGCTGAAGTGACACAGGAAGTTCTTCTACAGGAGTTCAAAGAAATGATTAAAGGTAGAAATGAGCTGGTTTTGCTTCCTCATTTATTTGAATTGTTAATTTTGCAGAGGACCTGTTGAGCGCTGAATGACTTTGCTGAACTTGATATTTTAAAGCTGAAAGAAGCACAACACTAGCTAAAAGCTAAAAGAAATAAAATACTGGCTAAAAGCTAAAAATCTCAAAAGGCTGGCTAAATCTACCAAAAGGCTAGATAGATAAAGGCAAGCAAAAGGTAGTAAAAGGCTAACATCTTCTTCTTTCGGCTTTTCCCTCTTCAGGGGTCTCCACAGCGAGCCCTCTTCCTCCATCTCTGTCCTCTGTCCTCACTCCAACTACCTCCATGTCCTCTAACTGCATCCATATATCTCTGTCTTTTTCCTGGCAGCTGCATTTCTAACATTATAATAATAATAATAATGTCATCACAATGTCAGCACTGTATGTTTCCATACAATGGCGAAATTAGTCTCTGCATTTAACCCATCCACCACCAGGTGGTGCAGTGGGCAGCTATTGAAAGCGCCCGGGGGACATTTTGGGGATTAGACGTGCTGCCCAGAGACGCCACGTGATGTGCAGTGACTGGGGATCGAACCTGGGACTTTCGGGTCCCAAACCGGCTGCCCTGCCTCTACATTCTACCAATATTCCCAATGTCCCTCCTCTGGACATGTCCAAACCATCTCAGTCTGGTCTCTCTAACTTTATCTCCCAGTTGTTCAACCTGTGCTGTACCTCTGATGATCTTATTCCTAATCTTATCCATCCTTGTCACTCCTAAGGAGAACCTCAACATCTTAATTTCTGCCACTTCCAGTTCTTTCTCCTGTCTTTTTGGGTCTATGTCTCTGTCTCCAGACCATATAACATAGCTGGTCTCACCACTGTCTTGTGAACTTTTCCTTTGAACTTTGCTGTTACCCTTTTGTCACAAATCAATCATGAAACTTTTCTCCATCCACTCCATCCTGCCTGGACTCTCTTCTTCACCTCTTTACCACACTCCCCATTTTTCTGGACAGTGGGCCCCAAGTACTTGAAGTCCTGCACCTTTGTGACCTCTGCTCCTTGTAGCTTCACTGTTCCACCCTCTCATTCACACACGTACTCTGTTTTACTACGATGACTTTCATTCCTCTTCAGTAAAAGCTATCTAAAAGTTTCAAAAGGTTAGATATATGTTAAATGTATCAAAAGGCTATCTAAAAGCTAAATGTGCTGTGGACTTTGTTGACTTATGTGTGACTTTTATTTAAAAACTAAATGTCACAAAATGCTAGCAAAAAGTATAAATTATCTTAAAGTAGCAAATGGCTAGTTTAAAACTCAAGGCAGTACAAAAACAGAGCAAGTATGCTGAAGCAGATTTCAAAGAGGAAAGTATTTTTTAAGCAATTGGAGAGATCTTCATGTATTTAAAGGTAAAATACATTTTAAATTAAGTTAAATATTTTGTATTAAAAACCACAAGCCATCTCCTGAATGCGCTGAATGTTTTGATTCATGAATAACTACAAAAAAGAGACGATTAGTGTGCTGCGATAGCTCGGTGGTCCATGCTGCAGTCTCATAATCCTGAGGTTGTAGGTTCATGTGCAGGTTGCATCAGGAAGGGTAAAACAATTCTGTCAAATCTGTCATGCGACTCACTGTGGCAAACCCTGTTGAGGAGAGCAGCCTGAATAATTAAATAAAATAAACATGCAGAAGTAATTAGATTGCAAACATCTAACAAAGTAAAGTCAGGTCATCTGGACGGATTCTTCTTGTTGAGGACCTGACTTAAATATGTTGGATTTTTCTACCTGGATTATTGAGCATGCATCAGAATAGATTGAAAACACTGTATAGAAAATTAAAACCAGGAGCACAACGTGTTCACACAATCATTGACCAGCGTAGTTCAGTTTGAACATTACTATCAAGTCGTTCAGTGAAATAACTGCTGTGTTGCTGTCAGAGGCCACAGAGAGAAGATCAGCTGAACTCGACAGTCAGGCCAGTCCCAGTCAGACCGATCCCAGTCAGCTTCCCACAGCTGTCCTCAGCCTGGATGGAAGGACCTCCTGCCGCCGAATAGAAGTAGCTTTCCACTGCAAGCTCAAGGGACCAGTGGCGGTGGACAAGAAGACTCTGGTGGAGCTCCAGAACTTCCAGACCGTAAGTTTGTTTGAAACCATGTAAATGTTTACAAATGGGTCTGGCTTTGCTCCCTGCTTGAAAAAGTAATGTTATGACTAATTCCCCTGTGCCTGGTTACAAGCTTTGTTTCTGTGTCCTTACTGCGAAACAGAGAATGTTTGGTAATGGCTGCCGACTTTGGATGTGGGAGAATTACCAGCGGATCATCCCCTCCCTGCTAACTGACTGGCAAAGCAAGCAGCGCCACTCTAAGACTCTGACTGCCTCTTTGGTCAGAAATATCCAGTTAAAAAAATTCTACACATCACTTTCTGGGCAGCTTACAAAAGGCACTCTGTCTCTGACTTGGAATAATGTGTGGAGACAAAAATAGAGACCATTAGAAGCAGCGTGCTGCAGAGGAAGAACTGCTCTGTTAGGCTGACACTGACGTGGAGGAGGGAAGACTGGACTCTACCGAGCGATTTCACTGGTGAAATACTGATGAAAATAAGCAGGTCTGAATCTTTAGGTTTTATAGATTCAGGAGTACAACAAAGCCCAGTGAAAGAGGGCATGAGGAGAGGGAAAGTTGAAATGCAGTTAGTTTTTTCCAGCCATGCAAATACACAGTTTGTTCATTTTTCTGGATCATTCAGATTTGTTAGTATTTTCTCTTCATGCTACAAAATATAGAATTTATGTGTAACAATAAATCTCCAAAAGAACAGCAGAATACTACAGATTAATAAATGCGAGCTCCTGTATGAGAACACTCATAGCTAGAAGTTTTGAGAATAACACAAATTAATTTTCACATAATTTACTGCCTCGGTTTTTATAGCAGTCTACACTGCAGTTCATTATGAAGAGAGGTCAGTTGTAACCCCATTTGCCATGAGCGGGCGGCTGTGGCTGAGTGGTTAGAGCAGTCGTCCTCCATTGCAAGAGTTGGGGGTTCGAATTCACCAATAGTTACATGCCGAAGTGTAGACAGGGCAAGGGCAAGACACTGAACCTCTCATTGCCTCTGATGTGTGTTCCATCAGCGTATGAATGTGATAAAGCACTGATTAGTTTCTTTAGAATGATTTGTTCAATTACCAAAAAAGTCTATGCTCAATAATCCAGGTATATAATTCAACAATTTTCAGTCAGGTCATCTGGACAGTTTCTTTTATTGCTAATTAGATCCTTCAGTTTAAACTGAAGGATCTAATCTAATTAGCTTTGTAGAGATCTAGTAAAGTGCTGTATGAATGGGTAAATGAGGGCACAGATTATAGTGTAAAGCACTTTGAGTATCTTGATAAGATAGAAAGGTGCTATGTAAGTACAGTCCATTTACCATTTACCATGAAAATGAACTTACTCCCAACAAACATTTCCACTGCATTTCAGCTCTGATATAGAAAGACCTGCTGACATCATTTCAGAGATTTTCTAATTACCACAGGTCAGAGTGTTGATGAAGGAAGATACTGAAGATCATTCTGTCATGAGTTAGACAAGCAGAATGGATGCTTTAAAGAGAGGGTGGTGTGTAAAATCATTGTTCTTCGTTACCATTTGTCTGGTCTGGGATCTACCAGCAGGTGGTGACAGCTGACCTCCACCCTTCACACAAGTGTCCAAAACATACCACCGTAGACTAGATGACACAAAGTCCATCATCAATCTGCCTGCTGGCCCAGTGTTGTATAAAATGCCACAAAGTGATACTTCAGTGAAAGTACAAGTATCTTACCATAAAATTACTTTGATAAAAGTTAAAGTCGCCTTTAAAATTATTACTTAAGTAAAAGTCTTATAGTATTGAACATTTAATGTACTTAAGTATTTAAAGTAAATTTTTCTTCTAAAATGTACTTAAAGTAAGAGTATTAAGTAAAAGTAAATGGGTAGAATTTCCAAAACAACATTTATTGGGTGCAATATCCAGTGGAAAAAACTTGGAAAGTTTGAACTGAACAATGTAAGATTGCTCTTTAAAAAGTCTGATTCTAACAAAGTATATTCATTCAACCTTTATTACCCTTCATTAATAAAGCTGTTAGAAAGCTCACATTGTTGTGTAGTTGGCTTGTTTACTGAGCTAGGTTCTGTTTGGTTATGGCTTGTTTCTTTCTGACTAATTAATAATATAGGCTGTATTATAGGATAAAATAGCATAGGAACTAATAGTTACTTGAAGCAGTTCATGTCCTGGAGAACACCATACTTATCCTTTTTAACAGCTACCATCATTTTCACACCTATCAGGAATGTGTCTCCACTTTGAGTCAACAAAACTTTATTGAAACGATTGATATCTGCATATGCATCTAGCTTGTTCACAGCGGGAGCTGCAGGTTTCACACAAGCGGCAGGGAAGGGGCTGGGTTTGTGATTGAGAATGGGAGAGAGAAGTGGCCAAATGATGTCACAGACTGAGAGAACAAACAGGCATTGCCCAATCAGATTTCTTCTAATTTTAAATTGTAGTAACTAGTTACTACTATGGTTAAGGGAAATGTATTGAAGTAAAAGTACACATTTTATTGAGGAAATGTAGTGAAGTAAAAGTGAAAGTCGCTAGAAATGTAAATAACGAAGTAAAGCAAAAATATGTCAAAATTCTACTTAAGTACAGTAACCAAGTATTTCTACTTTGTTACATTACAACACTGCCTGCTGCCATGTGCACTTATTTATGTTCAAACTTGACTGGTCGCAAACTGTGAGCAGCACACAAGTCCAACACCAGAATACCACACAGATTCAGATTAGAGAGGTCGTTCCACCCAATCATGCCCACCTGGTCTTGAAAACAACCAAACACAGGAAGTGAAATGATCAGATCAAATAATGCTTAGGGTTAGGTCAGATCAAATAAATCCATCCATCCATCCATCCATCCATCCATCCATCCATCCATCCATC